AGCGTGCGATGACCATACTTTGCCCTCGATCGTGGTAGTATCATCTGGCAAATACTGGCGTACAGTAGGCTATGTTTCTTACGCTGGCCTATTGATGTTCTTTGAATACGATATTTAAGGCAGAGAGAAAAATGAATGTACTTTTTAAACGATAGTCCAGGGACACCGTCTTCATAAAAAAGCACGTGCAGGCATTCAGAGTGTCAGGTGAAGTACAAGTACCCCCCCCCCCCTTCTCTCTGTCTCTTTCTACCACCCGGGTTTCAAATTTGCAACGATTGGTTCTGGTCTCTCGCAGGGGTCACCCCTCCCTGAATGAAGCAGTTGACCTTTCGAAACCACCCAATTTTTCTACCTCAGCATGGAATCGTTTTAACCCGTAGTTGACCCCCTGTTCTCAGGGATCACGCCAGTAGAAGGTGCCCTTGACTCAGGTGTGTTATGTGGATGGTCATTTCTAATATTCATGGTAATGAAAACGAGTTAGAACGGTCAAAATTAACATCTTCCGAGACCATGCATTACGCTAGATGTATTTTGATACTACATTATGCATGTTTTAGAGTCAAAGCTATATAATGTCATACAGAGAATAGTGAAATGTGTTACAGTTCAAGTTCAAGTCATTTTGAGACCTGGACAATTTATTGTATTAGCAGTTTTAATGTGAATACTGTGAACATGGAGATGTTGATCGAAAACATGTGATAAGAGAGGAAGACCAACAAGTCTTATTTCTGACACCAATGGCAATGTCACATCCCACCTCGAATCCTTGGTCACATTATTTTTCCACATGGCGTTATGTTCGGGTCAAGGGCATGCAGAGAGATCTGGGACGTATCAATGCAGTGTAAAACTTATCAGAGCGGAGATTGATACAGAATAAATGAAAAGGACAAATTGATATGAAAATGAAATTGATGACGACTAGATGCATTTATAATGGATCGTGACTGGTTTATAAATATGGGAAGTTTGGTACGGTCGGGTTTCGCAGGACAAACAAACTAGCCCGGCCATGTTATTTCATCATGACCAGACGAGAAACCGTCCGATCTCGCGGAAGTTGACCCCGAGACTCGGACCTGGTATCCACGTTACCCGGTATATAGTTCCCTGATGTTATCTGATCCTCAGTAAAGACCAGAAACTGTAATTCTCGGAACACTTGTAGCATTACAAAGTATTTCCATCACCAGCACTACACAGAGTTTGGAGTATTTCCTTGTCTCTGTTTGAAAAGCATTGCAGAAAGCGTCCAATAAAACTTATCCCGTAGATCATCTGGTCTGAACTACAAAGCCTTTTTACTTCCACTCGCATTTTTCCTGGAATCGAAACCGTTAGCAAAGCTTGAATCTCGATATCCGGTTCTCCCCACATTGAATAAAGAAATTTATATTATCTGATGTTTCTGATATACAAAGCCATTTATGGTCCTACTGTACATGCATTATCAATATCATAAATATACGTACCGGTTGTCGGCTCGGTTACATTCCAAGAAACTTGACTTTCTATAGCCTTTTAACTTCCTATTTATTCCACAGGCTTCATTCAAACAGATTCTGAAGATATAGATATTCTGAAACTATAATCATTCATTGAACTCACATTGTTACTGCTTGGTAACTTCTTTATATTTTGAATCTAGCACTGACTCAAGAATGGCATCTCAAAGCTCTTTGTATCCAGTGGAAGGACGCTATATAAACTTCAATTATTTATTAATATACATTTGAAATGCTGTAGATCTTATAGTTATACTTTAAAATCACGTACATGTAGGTCTTCAAAAAGCACGCTTTAGTTTCGCCGATAGGCCTAATATTCCTCATGCGTTGTTTTAGTCAAAATTAATGAGAGAACATTGATGAATAATAGCCAAATTCTGTTTTTTATTGGTTATTTGCATTGGTCATGTTGGTAGCCCATTTAATAACTTGATCCCATAATAATACAGTATTCATTTTTTATCACGCCATAAAAGAGCCACCCATTTGTCACTTGGTATAATACGTTAATCAACTTGCATTATGCGAACTCGATTCAAATAGAAACATTCTTATTTACTACAAGTCATGTACCAAAAGCTCCTTGAATATACTAAATTAGTGACTAAAATTGGAGCAATTGTAAATTAGAATTTGCTGACTACTGATGGCAAGAAGATTGCAGAAACCCGTTTTTTTTCTTCATTTTCATATGGCTAATCTACATTTCACACCTAGACAAGGAGTACATTATTTAAACTGGGGAGGGACAGCCCAAAGTGGGGGCATTTTAAAAGGAAATATATATTTTTTTTGATCAAAAGGGAAAAGAATGAGAATTCGAACAGTTTACTGATACTTCTTCAATGTCAATAAATGCTAGCTCATGATACTTACTCAGAATGCAATCGATTTTTTTCCTTCTTCATTTGCGAGCATGTGCCCCTAGTTATTTTACCCATGTACCCCTAAACCACATTGCCATGTGCCCTTCATCGGAGATTATCGCCCCTATTGTAATGGAGGGGTCTGCAACACTTGCCTTTGGGCTTGGCAACAGTTGCTACAAACCCATGGGCACCCCGTGAAGAAACGAACAGCTTGTCAATGACTTTGGCATTGGGGTTCCTTTTAACCCTGGGCTTATAGGACTGGTCATAGTGATTTCCCTCATTGCATTGTCTGAAGTTCATGGCCAAATGCGAGCCATATGTCAGACCCGGGATGGAAGGGGTGGGGGAGGCGAAGGAACGGGGTTTGTTCTTTATTAGAAACAGGTGGGAAAAGAGGCATGGGTCACAAAAGGGGGTCGAGGTGTTACTGGTAATGTCAAAATTAAACTTTTCCCGGATTGTATACGACTTCATACTGAATTTACTTTAGAGAAGAGTAGCAGTGAAATAATGAAGAAAAGAAAGAAAATGTTATTGGGCTTGGTTGATCTACAGTTCAATACAATTGGTGGCGGGGGTTATTTTACCTGACTGCTAAGAAAGCTTTTTTGTAAATAAGCAACCAGTCGACCGACGGCTTTAGGTCCTCTCCGAGGGACCTGGTAATGAGAAGTAATGCCTTACCAACGGGCACAATTAGACCTATTCTCTTTGAAGCTCCATGAAGGTGGTTTTTATCAGATTTTCACAATGCTGCTTAAAAGTTAAATCTCGCTAGTCCTGCACCATGAGGATTCCTATTCACTACAATAATGGATAGCCTATGTTGTATGTAATGTATGTATATCATTTCTCTTGGATTGCAGTGACTTGCTTCACCCGACTATAAGATCATGAAGGTTTGTGATTGAAAGGTAACAATTATGATAAGGGAGCTAATATGCCATGACTAACCCATCAAGAAGTGAAAGATGATTATATCTCGAGGTTTATGTCCTCAATCATTGCTCTCATCAATCTTAATGTACGTGCCAACTGAACAGGGACGTCAACACCACATACTTGCCTTGGTTTGGTGTATAATAATAACCATGTGTAACTGCGAAGTTAGTGATTGTATTTTGTTAGATGGTCTTATGCCTCAAATCGTACTTTAAGATATAAGTTTCCTTGTTTTGACCTATATCAGTGGATGGTGTGCAGCAAGCCCGGAAGAGCCCTCCCCCGGTCTATATCTGTCTGTCTGTCTGTCTATCTGTCCGTATGTCTATCATGTAAATCTCTCTTTCTTCAAAAGGAGGCAATGAAATCTCTATTGTCTACCATCCACCCACAATATACTGTAGCAATGTGAAGGAAGACAAGAAAGCCTCAAAGCCTGCGATTCGAGACCAACCTGACTGACCAAATGAAGCCATGAACCCGATGACCACTGTACTTTTCACCAATCAGCTGTCTGCTAGCCAGTGATAGCGTGATGAGTTTAGTCTGCAGGCACAGACTCTACGTTGACAATCTTATACACAAGACTTGAGCCTAGCCTAACTTTGTGAGTCTCTACTTGTCATGAACAGCTATAGTAAAGGTAGACCGCGGGCCATAGATCAAATATGTGGCTTATTTTTCATTTTCGTGCCTCAACTCTTGTATATACCTAAATTTTTGTTACTCAATAGAACAAAAATCATTGAATAACAATTGATAACTCGTCAGTGCAATAAGTTGCACATTAATTAATTATGCTAATTTAAAAAAGTTACAGCGCCCTCTTGTGTTCAAATCTTGAGATCTGTGTTGTGCTAATGGGTTCCACAGGATTTTATTGGACTTGGAGGTTTTGTTTCACCCAGGGAATAACACCCAAGTCTGTCTTGGAATGGTTGGTGTTATATTTTTCTTTATTTAAAGGTTAAGTCCATCCTAACAAATATTTTAGTTTAAATAAAGTCAGAAAAATGAAAGGAAGACGACAGTGAAAGTTTTCAGCAAGTTTTGAAAGTAAGCAAGTTATCAATTTTTGAAGGTGTGATTAATGAAACACAACTCGACAACTCCACAATGTAACTTTTTTCTGCTTCTATTCAGGATGGACTTCCCCCTTTGATTAAACAACAAACAAAAACAATCTTGAAAATAAATAGAGATAAATAAAGAGAGAGATTAATAGAGAGGGGAGAGAAGTGGAAAAGAGGGGGGGGGGGGTCAGGAGATAATGGGGACTTTGGTAGACTGTGGTACTTTTATTTATGTATTTATTCATTTTTGTTTTTATTTGTTTGGGGGATATCAATGTGTGCACATGAGGATGCACATCTTTTAATGAGTATAATCATGGTTTCAATGCATTTTGACTACCAGTATTCATCACTTACTACACAACTTGAACCATCCTTCGGTATCCCATCACAAATATAGCACCCCCCACACTTATACTGAAAACTTCACCCTCTCTCTCTCTCTGGCTGTATGTCTGCCCCCCCCCCCCTCTCTCTCTCTCTCTCTCTCTCTCTATATATATATATACAGTGCATACACACACACACAAACAATCCAATAAATTAATTTAAATTAAAACACAATTTGAACAGGTGTCAAGATAGATAAGCCAAAATTTCCATATTCAATCAATATTTTTAATCATCTTTTAACTACATGTATCTCAAATACATTGCAAAATCACAGGAAGTTTTGACAATGGGGTGGGGGGGGGGCAGTAGACGTAATGCATAGTATGAAGTAGATTCATTGTAAGAAAAATAAATTGTATTCATGATGAGGTACACTTTTCTGGCTCTTAAAGGAAATTTCCAGGCAGTTTTGTTTTTGTTTTTTTCATAACAATGATCAAACTCATTCCTTAATACCAAATCTATTAAACTGCCCCAACAGATTTTGAACAAGTATAAGTCTACTGTACTAGCAATACAGAGAATTAATTCATACAATGACTTTCAAATGTTCAATATCATTGTGTACTGTTAGAGGGAGAAAATCCATCATTGATTCATACAAGGCATGGAAACCAGACATAAATCAACTTCCTTGCTACTTGCCTTTGATGATTTGATGATTTAATTATATTTTTAACAATATTTTCCCTCCATTACGTTGATGACAAAAACAAGAATTGCCAGATACCCACATTTGTACAGCATAAAACATAAACTTAAACGTGAATACATTTCAATTACTAATCATGGTATTTACAAAATTGTGAACTACTTAATCTCAATCCTCCGATAGTGCACAATTAGAATATTTTTTCACAATGGAACAAAATACTTACATGTCCAGTTCAAATCTATACCTACAATGGTACAATGTATTTATTTAGCAGTGAATAGAGGCAAAAAACACATTTATCTCCCGACATCTACAAGTATTTTCTTCCCTTACATTAACATATTGAGAAACAACTTTCAGTGTCAAGTCATGATGAAAAAAAAATACATGAAGAACAAATACTTTCCAGAATGACAAAGGGAATGACCATTACTCAACATGTATCAGGAATTTTCAAAATAAAATATTGGTTCCTGTTTATAGAGCACTTGTTATGCTTTATGACACTTCTCTTTACCTGCATGTAGTAATACCTAGCAACAAAATATGTACTGCTCTGGTTAGATGGGTACCCATTTACATGTACATGTACACCTGAGTGAAACATGGTAACAATGGATTCATGTTATGTTTGTCTAAATGACTATGTACCATAAACAATTGAATGTGCAGTGCAGTCAATAAACCACTACTAGACTTGGGCATCAAAAACATTTTGCTGGAAGTATATACATTTACCTCACAAATACTGTAAATGACTATATATTCAAAGTGGTTATAAATTTTTAAGCCTCATCAATCTCTAAAGTTTTCATATAAATCACATGAACAGTAAAATACAACATCATACAAGTGTGACCTTAGTTGTCCCAAACAACTGTGTTTGAACAGAAATTGGTATATTCATATCTTTACCCTGTTTTTGCATGGAAGGATAACTATCATATAGGTATTGGCGTATTGATGTTACAATGCTACAAACTCTTGTCATCACAATATACATGTGCATGTATATTTTACTGCAATGGAGAAGTGAGACAACAGGTTTTCTTCAAATTGCTTTCAATCGGTAGGTTTTGAAGGAGGAGGCATCTAATCCTTCAACTCCCCTGACTTCCTTGATGAAGAGTTGGTTCAGCTTAGTCAGCCTAAGGATCTCCTTATTTTTCATTATCCTTTCCTCAATTACCTTTTTGCAGAAACTAGAGTATGACTTATCATATATTACTGTTTGCTGAGTATCCTGTTTATAAGTATTACATCTCTTCACAACTTTTGTATACCTGTAATAGCACGATTTATGGTACCTTACTTCTATTGCAACAAGATCTTTCCCACGTATGTGTAAAAGCAATTGTTCATCTTGCTTTAATAAAGCGGCCTCTAACAGATGCCCCCCATCTTTTCTTTCACAAAGAATTAATTTTTCTACCTTCCGTTTACCAGAAGACTGTTCGCGGATATACTTAGCTCCTTTGCAGATAATGCAATGGACTGGCAATACATGCGGCTTATCAAAGTCATGGCTGGTAGAGGGTTGATTTTCATGGGATACTCTCGACCGCAGCAGTCTCTTGGGTGCAGGGGCATCCTCACTTGCTGACACTTCCTCTGGATCTTCTGTAGATGTCTTCTCAGCATCTGTGGGTTTAACAAGAAAAAGAGAAGGAAGAAAGGAACAGACAGGGGAAAAAATACTGATTAAAACCAATTTTATCAAAATCATTCTGATTTTCTGAATATATAACTCAATGTGGTGTTGGTGTTGAAAGTGTGGATCAAGCTGCTGAACCAAGCTCCAACACTGACTGTACTTGAGAAATAGCTCAATACTGAGTGATGTCACGCCTTTTATGTGATCCACTCACGATTTCAAGCGAAAAGGCTATACAACGAAAGTGAAATCAGTGAGAAATGGCATTCAAATTTCATCAAACAGGATGTAAAATCTAAAATCGTATTTTCAAATCAAAAGAGAAAATGTTATTAATCTTTAGAAAATAGACACATATATAGCTCTGATGATTTGTAAAACATTTTGACTGTAAATTGGATTTCGCTTAACTTTGCTGTGACGTTATCATTTGGTTCATGATCTTAAGATCACCAACACCAACACCGAACTTCAAATCACAAATTTCCCAATCTCTAGGCGATTTGTGTTGGGGAATAGGGAAATAACAAATAAATCGTCAAAGCGAACCATGATACTCGGTTCAGCAGACAACATTCAACAACATATTTTCCGAGGTCAATTCCAACACCAGCCGCATTTCAAGTTCAGTGTTGTGGCTTTTGACACTGAACTTGAAATCGCCAGTAGATCTAAATGTGTAGATGCAGAACAATTATTGCACAATTGCACCTACCGTTGTCTTCTTTTGCACTGCCTCACACACGCACAGATCAAACACTCTCCTTCTCTTCTTTGTCTTTGTACTGTACTGTTTAAATTATTTTAGCAGCATTTAATCATTGTTTATTACCTCTCTTCTTCTGAAGTCTTGTCAATGCTCTACTGATTGTCGTTACGTTGCAAAAGTGTCGGTAACATTCAGCATGATATCCTCGAAGCCGAGTATGGTGCTCCCTAGTAAAAGAAAATGTGAGAGATGTAGACTAATAAATAATTTCTATTAAAGTTCAATCTGCTAAAATACAAGAACTGCTGGACCTAGTTTAAGTAGTTAGGCCTATGTAAATGGCTTAATTTCTTGACACAAGCAAGAGTCAAGAATTAGACTATTTTATAATTTATCTGTAGACGAAAAAAAGTAGAGGGTCTAGACAGTAGTAGTAGGGACAGGGTCTAGTAGTAGTAGATCTAGACCTAGAAAATCTATCCTGGCTGTAATCCAGGACCATAGACATAGTAGATGAGAGGTCTAGATCTAGTCTGTTCTCTACTACTCTAGACCAAATTTGTAATTTCTGCTCTTTTTTCAAGTGCAATTTTTATTTCGGGGAAAATGTGAACACTTTTCATTTCATGCAGGCCTAGATATCTAGATCTATACCAATATATTAGGTGATAACTTACCTGCTTGTTGTCGATGACTGAAGACCGACTTGTCCCACACCTTCACTTTCGTGTACGTGTTCTTGCAACTTCTCTGCAACTTCACTTTCTAAACTCTCTTCCACGATTACCCACTTAGCTGCACACTCCTTACACTTTTGATAGCTTTTATCACTAAATGGTATAATCTTGCTCTGAGTATCGATGACATGTATGGAACAGAAAGCGGATTCACCAGCCTCAGAATTGTCCGTCTCACTGGCATCAAACGACTCAGAAGTCGCCATAGTACACAGTGAAAGTCGCAGTGCACAGTAAAAGTCGCATAGGCGTGCGCATAAAACAAAGAATATGATTGGCCAAAAGCCAGTCACTCCACACATCATGCTATCAGCAACGTATTGTGATTGGTCATTCTTACCGTAGAAAGTGAAAAATTGTCTCAAATTTGTTTTTTGTTTTTTGATATTTTCAGAAAATGTGCAAGTTTTGTTACTGACGAGTTTCAGATGTGACTGTAATAAATATTTTTAAACATGTTGACCAAAATACAGCTAGATACAAATTTGAGGCACGAGATGAAAAGAAAATGCACCTCGGCCCGCGGTCTAAGGGCCTGTGCAGTGTAGTCGACAGAGCAGTCTGGATAGTCTTATACTATTCACTATTCAGACAAACTGTTACGCATTACGACTCACCATGGTCTGTGCCTGCAGACTATAATGAGTTAGCATTGGCAAATGGCAGGCGTCTGCAGATCGTTCTTTGCTGATGACCTTCAGTGCATTGGTCTTCCAGGGACTTGTATCTTGTTCATTGGAATTGAATGGGCTGACAGAAAGATTCAGCCACCGACAAATCGGCGATTTTCACACCGTATTCATCTAAAAACTTTTGACTTTGTGTTGTTTTTGTATGTGCATAAAGGCAATTCTTGAACACAACTGCACGATTACAATTATTCGTAAAAGTTGTGTGCTCGCATCAATACGTACTTCCAAAGGCGTATCTAAGGCAGGTGGACGACTTTTTCCATTTGTTGGCCAAGAAAAATATATTTTAAAAAAATAAACTCATTATTCAAGTATTTATAAGCAGCGAGTGCTTGAGATTACAGCGCAATGGCTTGATTTTTTATAGAATTGATATATCTGCATAGAATGCCCGAACCCCTTACACTGCAGTTGAGTGTCGTACATCTTGACCACTTGATGTTTTTGTATCGCCACTGTATTGCCCCCATATACCTATATATTATAATGAAATCCTTTCCCAATTAAAATATATCTGTGATATTAGGTCTGTGTTTGGGTGATACAGAAATAAGTATTGTGAGATGATGATTTGAGAAGCAAAAGCCCCCCCCCCCCCCCCCCGACCCATTTTCGTCCTGATTTCACATTCATAGGCGATGACGAGCTATCGAATATGGAGCAAAATTTCAACTTTGATACAGTGACGGAGACACCCCATTGGGTTTGTAGCACCCCCACATTGTATTGCGTGCCTCCTATCAGACCCTCAACACCTTCATAGCATGCAGGTGCTTAACAGATTCCCAGACCCCCAAAGACAAAATTAGTCCCTTTTAGCACCTTTTTTTTTCTTCTAAAAGTACAACACGTCTTATTCGGAATATCTCACCCTGTCTGACGTTCGTCCCAATTTCGACCCCTTGCGTTGCCATGGTGATTGCTCATAATCATCACTTCACTCACGCTCTGTCACTTATCTCGGTTGGCATGGCACCCTTTCTTCCCTTCCTCTTCCCCGTCGTCCCTCAATAATGGTAATATTGTCTATCATCTCGCCCTATCTGTGCTCTCTATCTTTCCATCCGTCTCAATCTCCACTCTTCTTCATCATGATGATCATCAACACCCGAAACTCTCTCAATCTCCCTTCTATCACTTTGTCTACCCCTTCCCTACCTCCCTAACCGAAACTCTCAAGGAAATCGTCATTTCTAACTTCGTTTTTCTCTGACACTTTTCATAAAATATTTAATGTCCTCTACAAGATGACGAAGGTATTACGTCATACAAAGATGAATATGATTGTTTAGAAATACTGTGGATCAGACGAAGATCAAGCAAGCACCACATCTAAAGTAATACTCCTCATTCTCTATGATAAGAAAATCCTTTATCATTTTTGTTTTTCCTCTCTTTTCTTTCTGTTTGATTTTGGTACCTAGTGCGTTGGGTGCTCGCATGTTTGATTTTTAGGGCAATTATGAGTCGATATTATGCTTACTTTATCATGTATATACTTGTATATTTATTTAAGGCTTACTATTTACTTATTTACGTCAAGATTTAGAGTGATAAAAATATTGATTAACACTGTTAACTGCTACAAATATTATTTTGTCAAAAATGATTATGCATGATGGCCTTGTTGAGAGAAATATTTCATTGGGTTTCACACGGTATGACAAGTATTTGATATGAATGACTGAAACTGTCAATTGCCAGGGTGACAATGGAATGGACATGAATAGGTATAATTTATTTTTCTTTTGTCAATCACGCCTTGGTCCATTGTTTCCTTTTAGAGTCACTAACAAAAGTCAGTCATTTTCATCCTTGCTTTCATTTTTAGGAGAAAAAAAAAGATACGGTACCGTGGGAATTCTGTGTATATATAGTTTACCTTGCAGTGGATGCATATTATTTTCTCTCTCTCTCTCTCTCTCTCTCTCTCTCTCTCTCTCTCTCTCTTATCTCTCCTATCTCTTTCTCTTTCATCATGATCATCACATTTCTTGAACATTTTTGTTCTACTCCCCCAATCCTGCCATTATTATTAAAAAGAGTCACAAGGCAAAAACAACCAAGAAAACAGCGATCAGAATGTGTGGCTTTTTCACGGTAAATAATCTTGTCAATCTCGAAACAAGTCATGTTTGCAGAAGTTACATATTTAATAAGAATCGCTAGATAATAAAGTATTTGTGTTATAATAAAAACATGTCAGACTACCGCCTACTTCTACTTATCAATAAAGGTCTCGACTTGTATGTACATACACAATGATAACAACATTGAATTCATACTTCATTTTGCTATAGACCTTTTATTTTGACCAAGGCTGGCTTTCAGGGATTATTTTGCAGGCCTATTCCCTCGTCCGATTCCTAACGCCTATAATCATTTAAGACTGTGGTAAGATTTAAAAATGAAAAATTAAGAGCATTTTGACACCATCGGACAACACTTCGAACGGATAAAAGTATTTGGAGTAAACTTGACCATGAAATTCCATTCATTCAAATTGAATTTGAGCTTCTGACTATACGCATTGGTATGTATACAGGTATATACCGTAAACATGTTTGTCACAAACTCGTACAAACAGTCTGTATTATGACGGTGCGCTATTTTATTTTTTAATCAAATAACCTGAAGGAAAAAGATATATATTAAAGTATCATGCATCATTTAGTTCTAAATGTGTATTCCTGGTATTCCAGGGACAAAAGAGCATGACAATAACAAAGGGGTGTTGTGAAAAGCTAGGGATCCTTGGGACTTTTGATAAAAGTCAATCATTTAAAAAAAGGATGAATTAAATTATTTAAATCTTCGAAATTCGAATAGTGCATATTTTCTGACATTCAATGTTTACCCGGGGTTCTTTATCATTCGATAGAAACACACTCACACCATATCACAAGTACCCAAATACTACGGCAAACACATAACATGCCACGCCCACGTCTATACAGTACGACTCGGGGACTGGCGCAACCGTGGGCAAGTACAAAACACTGTACGAAGCAAAATATGCGATGCCAACCGCAAAGTGCCACGCCCCCTCCGCACAAATACTGTCTCGGATACCAAGGTTTGTGTGCTGAGACAGCGGGCCGGTCCACTCACGACGTGGCACTGGTGGTTAGTATGTAGGCGTTGTTTAGATATGTTCTTTTCCAGTCATACTTATTCACTATTTCTTCCAAAATACAAATTGATCATGACGCTCCTAGATTTAATTTGAGTCTATATTACATGACAAGGCAAAAACATCCAATTTTCAAGGGGTATGAATAATATAGTTGTTAACAGTTAATCGACGAAACTGTGTGAAAATTATGACAGTGTACTTTTGAACCCTAGCAGTCAGGCTATCCTGTCATAAAACCGGGGTAGTGCATAAGTCACACACAAAATTATAGTCTTTCTATAGGGTAAAGTACGCATTCCATACATTCTTACCAAGCATTAATAACCATGAAGCAAACGAGGTGAGATAATAGTTATGCAGACGCTATTATGTGTGAGATTTGCAGGTTTTAGGCCCAGCCCAAGTTAATCTAGGCTTGGCTAAACTCGGCATCTGCAGCTCTCAAAATAGCATGGGCAACGTTGGTATATGCCGTAAATAGCTCTATACTACTTATTTTGAGTACAATTCGTAGGCTTCTAAGCTGACTGCGCATTTTTACCATCTTCAAAGGGGACTGACGTATGTATACAATTATGAATTCAGAGGATATCCCTGCAGTCTCTCTCACTACCATACTTTCTTTCCCAAATGTCCAGATTGCCGATTCCCTCTGAGAAAGTAAAATCACATGATATTTGATCTGGAATTCAGACTAACTACCAGCCAAAGTTTTAGGGAGACAATATCTGGGAATAGTAAGATGTCTGCATTGTTGACCTTTGAACAAGATTTTCGTTGAATCGAATGCGGGTATCATGCCAACAGTTGATGGTTCACGAGTCGAGCTGGGTTAGTTCACATGATCAGCCGATGCACAGGCCCTTGGAACCAGGGTTGTTGGTGTTGTTGTTGTTTTCGTTTATTTGTAGCAGATAGTGTCTCCTTTTGGTGATGTTTAAAAAATCTTGAGCAATCATTGCAAATAAAAATCGCTGGAAATGTTGGTCCATTTCTGTTGCAGTATACTGTTCATGAGTAAGAGCGACTTAATCAAACATAATCATGCTAATCTTTAATTTGGCAATATCGAGTGAAAAATTTACAAACAATATTTTCGTGTACAATTGGCAAGTTTCTTTGTTTTATTTTTGTGTAACTTTAATTCACATTTTTTCATTGAGCATACTTCTTTTGAAACTACGAAAGGATGGAATTACATAATTTGTGCCATTTGATTTAGAACTCTGAACTACCGTTTTTCTTTTATTTTCTGAGATGATTGAAACTGGCAATACATTTGATAAAATATGTTGTGAAAAATCTATATATTTTGGAATAATTTAAGGTTATTCAAATATTAGAAGCACAATCATCAATGTTGCCTATGGTCGACTTTATGTAAAGAAAGTAATCCGAACTTCTTTAGTTTCAACAAATTGTTTGCACAATGATAACATGGTAGGCCTGGATATAAAGAGAGAGAGAGAGAGAGGGGGGGGGGAGGCAGACAGACAGGCAGACAGACAGGCAGACAGACAGAAAGAAAGCGCTATAGAGATGACAGGAGTTCACGAAAAGTAAGTTTGAGACACGATTGTCCACATAGTAATTATTCAAAACCCCACTACATGTTTATTTTTCAATATTTTTTTAAAGTCAAAATCCTATATACACTTTCCAATTTGGCTGAAAGCAAACTATATAAATAATACAGATATATTTCAG